CGTTACAATTGTATTGATATTACAAGTATTAACAGATGCTGTATTTTGTGCTGTGTTTTTCCATCAGTTTTACCTCGTTCTAGTCATTAAATATGTTTGGAGTCAGATGTTTACCCTGGCTCTGAAGGTTTATTGAATTCGAGGTTAACTACTCGGATTGTGGGGCAACGCAGCGCACAGCGAGGCCGAGACACAGACCATATGATGTTTTTTTTTATCCCAAATTAACTATGATTTAAACACTTAGGCTAAATATTTTACATCAGTCTTATATAATGGGTCGAAAAAATGAAGACTTACGTATATATGTATGTGGAACTTCTTTAGCACCGTAAGTAGCCAACTGTGCTAATCAGAGGTGCGGGGAAGGACAACGAACTAAACACGCTGAGAATTAAAGAAAGCAGCATTCTTTATTGAGTTGTTAAAATCTGGCTTCAAGTGCAATATTTCACTTACACTTTTTTAAATAACTTGTACAGGACTTTCAATGCATGGCATTTTACAATCACAGACCGTGTTATTGACAGTGCTATAGAATCAAGGTTGTAACCATCAATCGAGAATAGTTGGAAGATTCCCATTGAAGGCATGGTTGTGTAAAAGGCTCATGCTTTATTCCTGTAGCAAAAACAACCCCACCACATACAATGTAACTCTTATTGGCGAAATATTCCTATACTGAAAAGTTACCGGAACATTACTCAACTGAGATTTTACAGAGCAGCAACATAGCCCCCGACTGCAAACCTTGCGAAGTCTTGATACTTTGCAAGGCTTTCCTGACTAAACAAGCGTATTATAATAATTGGAATTCATTTAATTTGTGAATTTCGTTACAATAATCGTTTCCTCTCAAACTTATATTCAAATATGCCTTTGGGGCCCCAATGAGGGAGAGGGGGCAGAACATTTAAATTATCATATTTTTTGTTAGTTATAAGCATTTACTTGACCATATTGGTGCAATTTTTTTTCGCGCTCAAAGAAATAAACGCAGGTTAGCTCACCGCATCTGCCTCACCACCCTAATTTTGGGGGGCCCAAATGGTCATCGTTCTGATTTCAGGATGACAGATTTTGCTGCCCAGCAATGAGGATCTTCTCTGTAGCCTGACTTGCCTGACTGGCTGGCAAGACAAGAATAATTTCAATAACTCCATCACTTTCAATGTTGCCTATACGAATGCCACAAGGCATTCATAATGTATATATTTCAACACATCCACTGCACTGAATAACATTCCGGACGGGACAAGGTCGCTGCGCGGTTAACCTCGTCCAATGGGGTCAGGCTACTGACCTAATCTGCAGCTGTGGAGCACCACAGACGTTATCACACATTGTAACGACTGTCCATTGACATATTTTGATAGTGGACTATCAGCGCTTTACCATGCTGAAGATGATGCTGTTTCGATGGCTCGGCACACAGTGCAAAAACTAATAATAATATACCGAATAACACAATACAGTATACGTGTCAAGGGTTCCTTATGTGATGTGCATTGTAAGAACTCTGCGTCGGGGGTCCACAATCTGGTGGATATCTGAGCCAGTTCCAAACCTGGATAAAAAGGAGGGTCGAGCATGACGACCAGAGAAGAAGGATATCGGCTCGGACAACAGTGTCCATGTCCCTCAGTTGAATAACCAGGAGTGGGTCGAAAAATTAGCTTAACGGAAAGCAGCATTTTGGCACAGAACAGAGGAAAGTGGAAACATGACGAAATGTGCAGTGGACACCTATGGACTGTCTGCCCAAGGATTGTGATGATGATGTATTGCATGAAAAGAGGTTTCTGCATTGGATTAAGGAAGGGTTTCCGTACCGAATAAAAAAAAAGTCAATTATCTGGTAAATATTAAAACCATAACTAAATTAGCAATAACATAATTTGTAGCTGCTCATGCCTGTTTTTTGTAGGTGCGACTTCAAAAAAATATTCAGGATGGCACCTTGCCAGGTCGGAAGCATGTGGTCTGTTGACACTGGACGCAGATACATATTAATGTAGTACCTATAGGACAAATCTTCTCTTCAATTGTACTCAGGGTGGGAAACAGTAGGCTTCTTGTGGCCCACCGGTTGTGTTTTCGTGTTACCTTCAACACAACGAATGCCGTCATCTTGGCAAAATGTATGTCGTATATTCGAATTCAGATATTATCAAAAGAGCTAAATGCATAAAAAGGACCTGTTGAGGGCCAGAAACCAATCTGACAAGGTCTAAGTGTACCAACTGGACTTTTAATGATTCCCAAGACCTAAATGTGACTTCCTGGACAGAAACTGAAGGGAAAATTGCACTGCGTCATCACCTTACAGGAGACGAGGACAACACGTGGATGCAAGTTTCAGAATAAATGGATATATCCTTGTTGCTGCAATCTACCACCCTATCAGACAAGGCCTAAACTATGCTTTCATGTCCACTGTATCACAAATTATGGCACATCGTCTATAACCATCACAGTTGGTCATGTAACGATCATCAATGTATATAATCCCCTGAATAAGGAATGGCCACCACTACCTCTGCTAGCAGACACAAAGCGCTAAAGTTGAGGGCGCTTTGTTCCTCTCACACAGCTTAAAGGCCGTGATCTGAACGTGGCTCTTTCACTCCAGCGCTGTCCTACCAGACAGTCTCGTCCCTTCACCTGATGAAGGCCGCTTGTGTTGTGGCCGAAACGTCGTGAGAATATTATTGTGTTATTTTATTTTATCAATTTATTATTTTATTCTCATTCTACGTGACTTTACCGAAAGAACCAAAGAAGATGAATCATTGCAGTCACGAAAGCTTTAAATCGAAATTTAGCCTGGAGTATGTTGTGTTAATAGCCTGGAGTATGTTGTGTTAATAGCCTGGAGTATGTTGTGCTAAGAGTTGAATAACACGTGTTGCTCCCAAGACAACGTCTGTGACTCAGCTGGACTCACGACATATATATAACTTCTTTAGCACCGTACGTAGCCAACCGTGCTAATCGGAGCTAGGGGTTAGAGGGGTAGGCCCAAGGTTAGGGGAAAAGCAGGGAGAAGATCATCCTAGCATTATCTCAGGGTGTGTCACTGCACATCATCTCACATGTTCATCATATATGAAGATATCAACGCCTTCAATAACATTGCCAATACTCTAACTGATCGAATGTTATTGCAAGCATATTTCTGTCACTGGAGACTGACCGAATCCCTCCAAATCTCCATAAGCACTTTTCACTTAAACAATCATGCAGCAGATGCCATCATTGGTGTGTCCTTCTGTAGTAGTTCAGTGCGTTATGACCCTATTCCGAGATATCTAGGGGTTATCATTGATAGCAGCCTGGCCTTCAAGCCTCACATGATACAGATCTGTGAAAAGACCAGATTATTAATTGCCCTCCTTTAGAACCTTCCAGGAAAGACCTCGACATTGGCATTTCGCTCCTGAAAATATTGATATATACGCAAGAATAACATTGTACTCAGACCACATCGAGTCCACGATATGCAGAGCCAGCACTGTTTTCCTAAACACGTAATCTCACATCTAGATAAATTTAAAAAAGCAACTGAAAAACAGCATTTCTTTTTTAGTATTTTCAGTTTCACCAATATTACACGCTTTCTAATACCAGAGTAAAACATTACATACCAGCTAATTTTAACACATGTTTAAGGCACAATTTATTTGGGGGAAATAAAGCCTTGCAAAACACTGAAGGCCTGAACAGGTCGTGTATAAGAATCATGACACACTGACCATGGTACATTAGCTGCAATTTCTGCAGTAATACGTTGGATGCTGTGCACCTCGACTATTGTATTATCAATGATTCATTATTAAGTTACTGTAATTCATCAATCTTAATTTCCTGCTGCAATCAGACAATCCACACAAAATCCCTTCCTGAAGTGGATCAAGTCTTAGCAGAAACCTATCCATGTGGATGCATCTAAAGTTTCAGTTGACAATGACTAGCATTTGTTTTTTCCCTATGTTTTTTTTAGATTCTAATTTTTCGACCAGGTTTTCATATCAGTTTCATATTTCAGATATGCGTGTTTATTGCAACTTTCAAGGTTGATTATTTGCAGTTAAGCTTCAGCTCTCATTATTCAGCTTCAATGTTTAACGAATGTGATCGTCCAATGCCAGATTTCATATACTGGAGTAAAAAGAGTTTCCAAACAATTTGGATAGAAAAACATTTAAAGGTGAATGCATCTCCAAAAGACCGTACATTTGAGGGATATACATATTGAGACAATACGCATTGATATACTTCCTAGTACTAATATGCTAATGCTCTCAACCTTGGTTACATGTGACCAGTTTGAAATACCCACGTCGTCAGAGCCTTCAAGGACAGTCAAGGCCACACCTCCTGAGGCTAAGATCAAGGACGGTGACGTGGCACAGCAGCCACCCTTATGAATAGTGCAAGTGTATCAGTGACGTGCGGTGAGGTTAATGGCTGGGGAGGCACTGGCTAGTGTCAGAGCCAGATTCACACACTGAGGGGGGCGTGGCCTCACGGAGGGGGCGTGTCCTCACTGAAGGGGGCGTGTTAGACACACCCCCCTCAGTGAGGCAGATGTGATAGCTGCCTCCCCTGGTGCTTTTTCATTGCAGTTTCAGGACGAGACCAGCGAGCCTAAATATCTTTATACGCATACGTGAAATAAGTTACCTGGAGTATGGAAGGCGAGGACATGAAATGAAGGGGTTTATAAACATTACATGGTGACATACTGAGATAGTAACAGACACGTGCTTATTTCCCACGCTCCATCCAGTTACTGAGGGGTTGCGCAATCAGAGGGGAGGCTGAGCTCGTCGCTGCCTCACCTCTCGTCTCTTCCTGTATTTGTAGCGGAGCTCCGCAAATTTGGCGATTTTGACTATAAAAATTATTAAAATCGTACAGAAATGACATTTATAACACAGATCAGTGGAAAAATCTTAATATTTATTTTATTTGATTATTCTTTTTTGTTACTTTTCATAACAGTTATTTTCTTTGGAGTATGACAGGTTGAGGCTCTGCCTCCCCTGCCTCCCCTGACCGCACGTCCCTGAGGTGTATTAACCATGAACATACACACTATCTGCTTCACAAAGGATTTTTAAGATCCTCTGACATAATTTGCAAAAATTGTTCATTTTGTGCCGGTATGACGATCCAAATTTTCCAAAGATGAACAATTACTCGCAAATTACTCAATTGGAATCTACAAACCAAAAATCACCACACCAGTGCGAAAACTTTGCAGGAGCCTACTGAAAAATAAACATGAGACTCAGTGAGGTTTTCCTGGTTAAAAAAAGCATAAAAGGACAAGACCTGAGAAAATGTCCTGTCGCCAGCCTGGAGACCAAGGACTAGTCTCGAACATCAAACACGAAAATAAAATCCAATCATTACATCCTGAAGTAAACAATATTCAAGAACTACTACATTGTGGGTATATAAGCCCTACAATGCCATAAAAGCGTAAGCACGTGGGTGTTAGGGGGGGCATAAGGGGTAGACGTTTACAAGGCAGGGAGCGAAAAGGCTATGGTTAAGTGCTCATGAATACACTTCACAGAGAGGGGATAGACACAGTGTGACTTCATGCCTCAAGTATCTTGGACTTGACTACAGCCCGCTCATGAGCTGTGCGAGCTGATTAAACATGGGTCTATTTTCCTGGTCACCACTCCAGCAGTCCAGCATCACTTGGTAGCTGCCAGAACATAAAACAAAATTAAAGATCCCCCATTTAGTCGAACAGTCATGCTTTGTTGAACTTTGTTTCTATAGTATTGCTTTTGTAATTTTGTTGACCCAGGTCACTTTTGCAAAACAAATTAAGCAAATATAAATCACGGCAAAAACAACTGCATTACAGGAGGAATAGAAAACAAATGCATTAAAATAAATCAACTTTCAATAGATAAAACATCTCAAAACAAAAGTTGACTCAGACAAAAAATCAGCTTGTAGGAGCCGTCACACATGTACCCCAAATTAATTGTAAAATTATGTTTGGTTAACAAACAATGTAAGTTTATTTAAGTACGTGACCACCAAACTCCAGGACTAACTAATGTATGGGGGGAAACTAATTAATGGAGTAAATGCTTAGTCCAATTTTGATGCAAACAGAATTTGAAAAGCAGACTCCCACAATAACACGGAACCGCTTTAAAGTCATGGGAACACACAGACCGCAGCACGGCATGAGTACCACAAGTGTCCAGTTGCTGTTGCTATATTTAATATCGGTTGCAACATCGTGGAAAGAAAGTTACACGTAGTTCTGCAACACGAAACTTTATGAAAACCTCGTGTGAATGTGTTATTATTGCATATGCAATCAGGTGCTCTGATTGACTGGATGGAGTTATGTGGTGATCATGGAAACCTGACTGCTTTATCCAACACATTGACAGTTCTTATATTTGTGGCTATATGGTGAAATTTACTTTGAAAATAAATGTTCATGAGGTGATATCACATGCTAGCTTAGTTACCTATTTTTTATGCTCACATTATATACTTCTTAAAAATGAGATATTTGTTTATATTTTATCATGCACAGGTTAACTAGGCTCCTTTCTACATCAAGATCCACTGACAAGCTGCCTGGGCTGGGCCACACAGGCCAGATGGGAGGACAGGAGTCTGGCCTCCCTGGGGTCATACTTTATTATACATAGACATGGGACGTGGTTGAGTTTAATGGCTCAGTAATGTACAACTTTGTTATAGAACAGCAGTAACAAAGTTGCAGACAGGGTTTACCACAGAAATTAGACCCTTTATCCTGGAGAAATCCGATTAGCTATGAAGCTCTTTTTCACAGATGTCCAGCATGGGTGGGTCAGAAAGGTACAACAACAAGCAATACAAAAAACGATCGGAGTGCAAAGTATAGGAAAAGAAAGCTTAATTACGAAAAAATAAATACATAATTTAGATAAAGTATATACGTTACATTTGCATAAGTACAACAATTTCCAAGCTTGGACAAGGCGGCAAAACAACAGCAAGAACAATCCCGGAACACACACAATCCCTCAATAAAATTGCACATTAAAATTGAACTATCGATACACTGGTAAGGATGAACGTTACAAATTACATTGGCAAATGTAGTTGTATCCAGCACTAATCCTTTGCTTCAGGATATTTTTTGAAAGAAGATTTACAATGTTAAGGGAAGAAATACAATGTTAGTTCTACAACGGCAAAGGCTTTGTCACCTATTCCTATTCTTGTTCTTGGGATAGTTAAAAGGCAATTAAATAGACGTCGTAAGTTTCTTGGGTTTGACAATGGGGTGAATGAATTAACTGGGTAAAGCGCAGATTTGTGAATAAGGATTTTATCGATGAGCAGGGTTCCAACGGAGATTTCTTCTTGCAGCAAGTAATGAGATTGGATTTCAAGTATAGGTCACAATGGTGGGTCCTGTATGGTACATCCACTGCAAATCGACGAGTAGAATGATAAAGCAGTTTTTGTCTGTTTCGTGTTTCATTAGTAGCTGATCCGTAAGAAGTGTCACAGTAGTCAAAAAGTGGTTCGAAAATTTGCAGGCACAATCGAATGGGAAAACAATGTTTGTTTCTGTATCGAAAAACTTAGTTTTTATTTGATTTATTTTAGATGTGATCAAAATGGCGCTTGAATGCAAGTTTTGAATCAATCAGTAAACCCAAGTATTTGAAGCACTCCTTTTGTTCAAATTATGTTGTTTCTGATATCCGTAATAGGTGAAGGGAATTAAACTTAAAATTTGTTCAAAGAAATTGGCAAGATCTTCGGTTTTTTGGGGATTAAGGAGCAATTTCAGTAACGACAATTGATGTTGAATTTAGTCGAAATCGTGTTGGAGATTTAGTTTGACTTAACACAGGATGTTATGCAACATATGTAGAGTGCAATAACGCTATACTCGGGAAAGTACCACGGTTTAACTTGATCTTCAGAGTGAAGGAGGTGGGATTAACTCACACATTGCATGTGGCGAACTCGGGAGCATCCATGCGGTATCCATCACGAATCATCCTGTAGAATTTCCCATCCACAGCTATGTCTGGGTAAGGGTTTTCACCTGCGCAACAAAAAAACATGCATACCAATGGTAGTAGCGGTAATGAGGTTGGGGAAGAGCTTTGGGTGATTTTGTACATTTGGTGATTTTATATATTTGGTAAGCAGTAATCACAAGTTAGTGGACGAAGGGAGAGAGACTGACAGAAGATCATAAATCAGTGCCAGTGATATCAAGATCAGGGGTACGTGACACAGAAACGCTGTACGATGAATACACAAACTCAACCTTTGAGCTGAATACAGTGATTAAGGCTGTAGGCTGGGAACATTCAGTGTGCGAGTTCAGATGATGGTGAGATCTGAGTATCTCTTGCAACATGAGATGGGTTTTACTTTTCAAGGTGATGAATGGATGTGATGTTACTGGCAATACACTGAATGTTGCAGAAATTAATTTTGTGAAGAACTTTGATTATTGGAAGTGGGATCCTCCCTCTTAGCCACTACAAAACTAATATATATTTTTACAGAGAATAGGACATACAGTCGTAACATATATAAAAAGCTAACTTGACGCACTTGTCTTTCTTTTGTGTAAATATGTCTTTGCTCATGTTAACTAGCATATTCGAACAGTGCAATGTCCTTTAACTTCCCACCCTGCATAGTCCTATAACTGCCGCCACTGCTGATGGGTCTTTGGCTGGCCGTCTTTGTAAAATAGCTATTTAACTCAATGAGTCCTAACATCTGAAACAATGTATTTAGTCTGAGTCTTGCTTATTGCCTCCCCGCTGCCCTGTAGCTCACCAAGAGAGAAGATCTCCCACAGCAGAACACCATATGACCACACATCACTCTGGGAGGTGTAGAGGCTGTGGAAGATGCTCTCTGGGGCCATCCACTTCACAGGTAAGCGGGTCTGAGACACAGGGACACACGGGAACAAATACACATGCATACATATCTAGTACTAATTGTGAGTGATGTGAATTGTAATGGTAATTTAGAAGAGCGAAGCATCTTAAAATATAGGTGAGTCTATGCTTAGAACTATACAAATCTTAATACCAATATTTTTGAATTTGGCTCGAAAAAATGTTGACTCATAAAATGTTAGAACTCGTACTGATTTTTAAACTGCCTAAAAAAGTTGTTTTAATCGACGGGTTTTCATTGTAATGCATTAAATTTTAAAATCTGATTTTGAATTATGCTAATACATATATTTGGCTCGCCTAAATTTGTGGATACAATTTTTGCACTTTTTATGACATTTCATGACTCAAAATATAAAATCAGATACAGAAAATCATAACTTGATGCATCGGGTATTGTTATGATGAGTATATAACTAGCATCAATATAAAGCGGGCAAGGAACACGGGGGCACAAGAGACAATGGGAGAGACGCAAGCAGAATGTGGAGAGGCAGAACCACACAGATGGTTTGATCACTGGTTGTGTGAGCGCACATTTCCCCGGGTGATGTAGTTGTCGTCGCAAGTGATGTCACGTGCAAGACCAAAGTCGCAGATTTTGACGACGTGAGCGGTCGACACCAGGACATTACGGGCAGCCAAGTCCCTGTGCACACACTGCAAATACATGAAACCGAACAGCAACATGACCACTCTCTATGTGCTATGAATAAGGGTCATTATTATTTGTGCCTTGTTGTGGCAACATTTGTGGCTTGTTGTAGCTTGGCTCTCCAACACACCGGTGTGCTGTACTAGTGATGAATTGGCGACGTTCTGTTTACGTGGCAACCCTTACTAGTTGGCTGTGTTGGCTGGCGGCTGATTTTAACGACACATTTGTATATTTACACGATCTAACCCAAAAACCTCTATTATGGACTGACAGTAAGATGGGCAGACAACGACGCATTAACGTACGTGTCTTGAGGCGAGGAAGGCCATTCCCAGTGCAACTTGGTGAGCAAAGCTCTTGAGATCTCTGAGCTCAAGGGAACGATCCTCTTCAATGTCATCACCACCATCGCCACCAATAAGGCTATCTGTTGAAACACCCACAGCACACAACTCACACGTAACTCTCACAGAGGATAATTCTATGGTTCAGTACAGTTTTCTGAAACCTGTTATATTCTTCCTCGTCTGTCGACCTACCCTTATTACCTGCACGTCTTCATATCGCCTTTCAAAACTGAGTTTCCTTGACGACCTGCCACAGCTTTACACCTCCAGGTGACTCAGCTCTGGGGAACTGATCACCTACTTTTGTATTAACACCTGAATATAACCCACAGTTGTTCAACTATACAATTGATCACTTACCATGTTCGGGCCTGTGTTGCTGATCGAGATTATATTCACCAAAAGTCCCGTTGCCTTTTTTCACAACTTTCATTGCTTAAAAGGTCACCCATCCACTTTCATTTTTAAATATTTATTTCGAAGTTATATTAAAATTGCCATGACATGGACAAAGTTACATTTGAAGCTCTACAGATTGCAGTGCATCACCCTGTTATAGAACACACCAAGGAGATTATGTCACGTAACTACTTCTAAAGTCAATTCAAAAGACCTCTCCATCCACACTGGAGGCACATCTTTACACGGCATGCAAAAACAATGCCCATTTCACATAAATTATACCAATTATTTGAAGTCTCAGAGCTGTAATAAACAAAATTTAGTGTCATGTTTTTTTGTGTCCAGTCATTGGTAACCAGGCCAAGACCATTATCTCACTGAACTTGAGAATTCAGATATATAAACGGAGCATCTCAGCGGTGCCGGTTTAACACTTTGATACCTTTCCCATCCAGTCACCTCACCCATTCCTTTTGTTAACAGCTCCACTTGTTACCTGTTCAACTACTTAAGGATGCTCTGACCTGGACGTTGACCTATTAACATCTGATAACTACTGAGTCTGCAGTCCTTAACCTCCTGTACATTATCTCGATTTGCATTGACAAACAATAGCCAATCTGCACCGTTCATGATGTTGATCACTCATCATTTTCTGCAGGCCATCCATGCTCCCTGCCTTTGCAGAGCTCGCTTGCCATCAGTATTGTGCTCGTTTCTCAATTTAGCAACATTTTCTAAAGTTGTTTTTAGGTGCCACCTGGGCTGTGATTGGCTGGGAAGCTTGTTGCGTTGCACTCACCTTGAGCCAATGCCCTGGGCAGATCACGAGCCGACAAATATTCACTCTCTTTTGTGCTCCTGCAGAAAATCCAAACAGCAATGGAAACTTTTATTCAACCACACTAATATGCTAGATATTAGTGACTGTTTCTTCAAAAAGAGAAGCCTGGGATGTGTAGACACTAGTCTGTTTCTTCAACCAGGTGAGTGTCCCTTGAGATTAATTATGTCGTGCAGGGGCTCTCTTGTCAAGCTGGGCATGGAATAATGCATAACTTGATTTAAAATTATTCTCGCGTAACAGGCATTTAATATTAGAGTCGGTTATTTATGACTTCTGCAAATCATGGTGAAGACGGAGGCCTTCTCGCAGCCCGCTTATTATGCATTTTCATGTTATCTTAAACACAACTAACATCGTAATTTAAGCGAAATAAACAGTTGAAGTTATACAGTACAAGACACCATGCATGGAATTCTTGCAATTTTTCACCACTATCAGTCTCCTCACATGATGCAGCCTCTCCAAACTATGCTTATTTATCATGCTGATTATAGTGATGATAACAATAATGTATTGGTCCTGGCGGTGGGGATTTGAAATCGGGTTCTAAAGACTTAGAGCACCGTTGCCCTACAAACTGGCCTGTGTTCCAGATACATTTACAGGGGATAGTCATAAACAAAACACGCCAAACTGCAACCTATCTTTAAAACATGTGTTCTCATATGCAATGTTTTTTTTTATTTTGGTTTACCCATTGGTGATAGACTTGATGTTCTTGTAGGGCTCGTCCTTGTCAGTGTCTTCGCCGTTGTAGATGGAAAAACTTGTCCGCTTGCGACGCAGAAAGTTCAGGAGGTCCCCATGGGGGCAGTATTCTGTGACGATGAAAACTGGCCCTGTAGGAGATAAGGTCACAGCAATTCTGGAAAGAGTCTCATATCATTAGAGGAAATAGCCAATGTAGCATGTGCCTGAAAAAGTCTCAAGACTCGTCGAAGATTTTCTGCACAAAGGACAATATTATTATTCGTTAATGAGTATATCGTATAAGTAGACAAAACTTTATCCGGCACGGTTTTCTTTAAATGGTCAATGATTAGCACCTCCAATTAGTACGGTTGGCTACATACAGTGCGGGAGAAGTTCAACATACATACATGCAATGAAAGTCGCCTGCGGTATTTTTTCATATGAACAGGTCATTCCATTATTGGTTGGGAGATGGTAGCCTTCTCTGGCCCACCTGTTAAGTGCCTCATCGCACGACTAATACGATCACTTCGACCTTTTTGAAAATCGTGTACTTCAGTAAAAATGTTCTTGCTGTGGTTGTCACACCTGATGATGATTGCTTGTGTTGAAATCGAAACGTCGTGATTTAATTTATTTTTATTTATTTTATATTTTATTTTTCATCTACGTGACTTTACCGAAAGAACCAAAGAGTATGCTCCTATATCACTAGGGTCTGAAGTCGTCCACTATTCGTCCCTAACAGCAGAAATTGGTATGCCTCAGATAGTTTGTATCTGGCTTTATCTGACTGGAGCCATTTTACAATTGCACGTGGGGGTGCTGGTAGATATCTTCCTCTGGCTCTGGTGATCACATCTTGAATCTGGAGATACTTATAGAACTGAGAATTTGGGAGGTTGTACCTGGATCTAATACATTGGAATGTGTTAATGTGGCCATTGTCTGCCAGGAGGTAAACGTGAAACGTATTTAAATAAGTATGAGCACAACCAGAGCATGTAGTTAGGCAAGGTATCCAAAGGCACAGGTTCACCGATTTGCCAGTCTACCACATGGTCTGGTGATGCGACCTTATGCTCTTATTTTTTAACATCACTTTTCTAACTGAATTAAACACACATTTGATTTTAGTTGTACGTATTTTTTATAAGAACATTTACATTATTTGACTTATTTAATGTCCAAAAGAGCTGCTGTGACGTCATCACCGCAAGACCACGTGATATATGGATGCATGCAAACTGATTGATGCAAAACGCTGCATCCGATCACATGCACCAGCTTAATTGGCACACGAACAATGTTTCTTGTCAGCGTTATTCATATTTTTTTCAAGGTAACCTGTCCATAGGTCCCTGAATCCTGGCTTATTTGGTGTTCTGCTTGAAGGACGTTTTACTGCAATGTAATTTACAGGTCCTTTGTTGATCCAGTTCTGGATGAAGACTTCCCCTCTGCTGTGTCAGTCTTAGAGGTTATTTTATCCATAATTCACCATGCTGGTCAGTGGGGGTTGATGAAGGTGGCGCCCAGGATCGGTTCACAGATATCACTCACCAATGGTAGCGATGGCTGGGAATCTAACTCAGGTCACTGGTTTTAAGGTACAATGCATTTACCCACTGCAACATTCCTACATACCCACATCCAAATCAATCTTTAAAATGTCTTGTGCCTCAGTGAGGTTTCCTGAGTAAAAAGATAAAATATACTGCTATTATTACACCACTCGATTAGGATGGCAATCGAAATTAGTGCGACCACATTGGTGGGGTAGCACTTAGGGAGACACTGACTTGAAATTGTCAATTTCCTGCATTGTGACTGAGCTCCCGAGGGCTGGAGATTCTCGGTGATCTCTCACAAATGTTTTGCTTAGCCTCCACTCTGTCAATGGTTTAAAATTCGAAATGTGATGTATTACACAATGCTATTTACTGGAAAATTATGCCCAGCTATATTGCAATAGCAGAATATAGTTTACACACATTGTAATGATTGAATGCAGATAGCTGTGAAACATTTGGCGATTATCTCAATGGCATGCAGGAGAGAGGCACATTTTAAAATCACATGTTCTCACCTCCAATAGTACATGCGCCGATGAGGTTGACGACGTTGAGGTGATATCCCAGGTGGCTCATGATCTTCAGTTCACACACCAGGGCCTCCATCTCTGAGGAATGTGCTGTGGCTGCCAGCACACAGGTAGTATGTGACATATTTTGTATGCTTGCACTTTTGTGATATATGCTAAGATAATGTTCATTGTAAGAGGATGTTTCAATAAGCAAATAAACCTTTAACGATTGTGTAACCTACTTGAGACAGTGTGAGATGACGGGGAGAGGCAGGCAGGAAAGGTCCATGGAGGATATTTAAAATGGTGAAGTTTAACTGGGATTTGATTGGGATTTGATTGGAAGCTAGTGGAGAGATTTAGGTATTGGGATGAAATGGCCTTGTTTGTAGGTGTGAGAGGTCCGGTCGTGGCATTTTGGATCATCCAGTTTGTAGGGGGGGGGGATTTGTTTAGGCGAGGGGGGAGAAAGTTGCAATTGTTGAGTCGGGTTGCGATGAAGGCATAGATGAGAGTCTCAGTGGCAGCTGGGTAAACGAAATGATGGATATGAGTATCTCGTGTGGTGTGCAGATGGCGCTTGCAAATTTGTCACAGTCAAAGCAAGGTTTGGAGATTTGCTGGTCTCCTACCACCAGGGAACATCAACACAGCAGGGCTACTCCCTTCCACTCCGATCGATCGCCTCCTTTGTCCCCCACCACCATTGATGATCAATCTTCCACCACCCACTGCTCAAACCAACGCACAACCCATCTTGTACGCATTGAACAATTCACTCCCCAGAAATGCAATACATCGTCACGACTAACAAATCACTATAAGATTCAAGAATATATTCTTATTTTATTGTTTCTGATATTTTCTGTATTAATTTGTACCATTGTGTTCACTCCATTAGCCTAAATCTCACACTAACATTTCCTTTGCTTATAATTAGCAAAACATGCCAAATTACATGGTAGCAATAAATGTATGTATGTACTGTATGCGTCGTTAGTTGCTGACTAGGGCTTGAATAATTCTCTCCCCCCCTTCAACAGACCATGAACTACAATAATTCGTAGTTGATATTGGATTCAATAATTTACTGTCCCCCCCCCCCCCCCATTGTGGTGAACGCAGTGGCCTCTAGTCGCATTAGTGGTCACGTGAACCCATCGTATACAGGACATACAAATTGAAAATAATTGATTATTACATACACGATGCTAATTATAATAATTATCATGAGCGTATTGAGCCAATTATAATGAATGCTGAACATCTTCCACATTGAGAGGACAAACATCCGTCCAGCCGCTGTGACAGGAAGGCCAATGTCGTATGTATGCATGCACGTTGAACTTCTTTCGCACCGCACGTAGCCAACCGTGCTAATCGGAGTTGTCAGGGGCACCTTTCAGCATCTTGACGGCCACCTTCACGGGCTGCTCGTCCGACGCTTCCAGGCAGTGAATGTGGGCCTCTACGACCTGGCCGAATGCTCCCGAGCCCAGGGTCACACCTACTCATGACAGACATCACCAGGCGGCATTAGGAAGTAGCAGGTTACTAATATCAGTAGGAATGTAAAGATGATCCCCTCCTCCTTTGTGATTCCGTGAACGGTCAATCATGCAGGTTCACAAGCCGATTCCGCAAGATTTGCTTTCATCTCATCTTAATCATCAGGTATGTGCGTATACAACTCGTTTTTTTTCCACCCTTGTTTTCACAGGTGTGGTCTCTCCTTTAGCCTGAATTTAACATTGGGTTATAAGTTAACATGAGGTGCTAAATTATCATTAGAAGATAATTTGTATTAGGAATGGCATGAAAGCATCAGAGCCGAATTAAATTGAATTATAATTTCAGCTGAGCTTCCTAATCCTAATCGTTATTGCTCAACTTTAAAATGCTCATCGATAAAATATATTATAAAGTGCAATGATAATTTATACAGACATTACTCTTATAGAACTGTCTCTTATAACGCGGTTCCTAATAACTCCCTTTGTCCCGTGTTGCTCAGCGCATATATGGCAGGAAGTAGGCGTGGTGTTGCCAGTAGTGGGTGTGTCTTTGCCCATATATGGTCTTGTGGAACCTGAATCGAGGTGTCTTTTGTATTGATTCTGCTCAGCTAAGTTCGAGTATTGATTAATCGAGAGTTAATCACTAGATCGATTAATTGGAGATCCATGGATCGAGTAAGCCCGTTGGTAAGTATAGCTTCCCACGGAACGTTTGTTTTACGGCAGATGGTGGTTCATCTTACACAGGCTCTGACCGAATGCACTTGTGAGTAAATAACTACCCCAATAAATATTCTTGGTTCTTTCGTCAAAGTCACATAGAAGGGAAATAATACAAATAAAGCAATAAAATTCTGTTTCGTTATTATTTCATTATTTCCCTTCTACATGACTTTATCGAAAGAACCAATAATATGAATCCCTGCAGTCACGAAAGCTTTAAAACGAAATTTAACTACCCCAATGAAGCTCTCACATCGCCCATAGGTAGACAGCGCTGTTGGTATGCATCTCCATTGAAACCATGTTACAATGATCTCCTAGAGTGCTGATTCGTATCACGCTCCATTTACCAAGAACGCAAAATACAACCAACAGTAAGTAGTAATAACTATGTACTCAAGTACATCATCATCAACCTAGGGCTGGCCCTGGTATGGTCACTGAACTACCCCCCTATATAAAGTTTTTTTTTTTTCCCCTGGCAACCCACCCACCCACTCACCATAATGAAAAATGAACGGTCCAATTAACTCATTAATTTGTCCAAGAAAAACATTTCAGAAGTAACAACATTACAACACACGTTTCCCACAAAAAGCCGATGCCAATTTTTGTGACTGTATATATGCTGTCCTTTACAAAACCACCGTATTTGTGTCCTCCATTGCAGTCAATACCAAGGGAACCCAGTCACTTCAAGACAAATGTTTTAACAGTCTACTCAACCACCTTCATTTTTTTCTCACAGTCGTATTAAGCTTTAAGGTGCTACAGGTTACATAGCTGCTCGCATGTTGCCCGTTGAGCATATTTATTCACCGTTCAATATTCTCTCAACGGCCGCCTCAAAGTTGTGTAGTGGTATAGTGCTGGCTGCTGGCGGAAAGCCGTAACTGCGGTGTACGGTAGTACACACGTCAGCAGGCCACGATATATACGAGATGGGGACATCTCGGGGAAAGGTCATAGAAGTGGCCCATCAGGAATCCCCGGGAACCCGCTAGTAGGTTCCAGAAGGGGGGCGTGGCCGGGGCGGAGCGAGGCCACGCTGGGAGTATAAGAGGGGGCCCTGAGCGGGAGCTCGGGGCTGTTGTGGGAAGTGAAATCCCCGTCGTGCTGTTCAAGATCATCGTCGTCACCTTCTCGTCGTCGTCACCATCATCTCGTTGTCGTCTCCATCGTCACCGTCCCGGGGTGCTGTTATTCAGACAGCCTACCAACTGTTCTTACTAAGTAGTGCCGCCGACAATAGACGGTCTTAATGATAATAGTGTGCACCCCCGTAGGTTTGTGTATATATCCCGATGGTGCTTGGTTAATAAAGAAGTGCCTCCAAGTATCACTGTCTCCAATCTGCGTCACTACAATTGTAAGATGCTGCTGCTGCTGTTGTGGTGGATATTCTTTTGCGACTTGTTCACTTAAATTTTCGGATTTAAATATGTAATATTTCTATATCCTCCTTTTACCCCCCACTCCCCCTGAAAAATAACTTCTTGGCTGAATGGATCCTACTCTGAGTGATCAAAAATAAACTAAAAACAAAGATTAAAGTCGGACGGCTGTGTGGGGCCGTGCATCCGCACTTTCTTGTGGCCGTCGTGGGTATGTCACGTGGCACGCTGGCACACACCAAACTGGAGCGCATCTCTGGGTAGCTCCCAGCGGGGGTCGTACGACAGCTGGGCTGGGTCCAGAAAGGTGTAAGGGTTTCCTTCCGTACTCCCATCCACAATCTTCCAGCGGATCTCGTATCTCGGCCGCTGGAAAACATTGTGCAATTTTCATAGCCAGCATTTCTCAGGCGGTAAAATAAAAGATCACTTTTCCTGCATTTATATTCTTTGGGTCTTTCAGTAAAGTCACGTAGATAGAACAATAAAATAAAAATGGAAATGAAGTGAATAAAAAATAAAATAAAATATCACGTTTCAATCGCAACACAAGCAATCGTCATCAGGTGAAAAAGAGGGGAAAAAGCTGCTGATGCAGGCTATTTTAAAGGTTTGAAATGGGTGTAGCCCAAGGGTCATAAACGCAGTGGGCGGGGCTAGTGATGTTAAAGTGAGAGAGATTAGCATGTCAATGTAAGAGATTAGCATGTCAATGTAAACGGCGGCTTTGTTTGTGTGAACCCGTTAATGTAAAATCAGAGAGTCGAAAATAACTGCTAACATCGGAAGGTAGGATGGAAACATCACAGCCAGTTATGACTTAAACTGTGAAACAGGGAGACATGCAAGGTAACATTATCTTCGTCAAATGATTCACGGTGACATTAGACAATGTTTCTTCCAAAAATCGAAATCGGAGAAACAAAAGATGCATTTTCATGGGGAAAAACATTCACCATCTAGCTTTTGCTGTCGATGGAATCATCATAAAGGGATATGAACGACAGCAAATGTTAGAAGAAACAGACAATACTGCAAATTGGGCTCAGGGTAAAGAGGAACATGACAAAGGTCATGCTCAACTAGCTCGCAAAGCAACGCGGATGTTTGTTTAAGCAACACAACTGGAATATGTTTATGCTGAGTTATAAGATAGATATTTGCACTCAGCACCAAAGTCTGGTGTCAGTTGAAAATTTGATCCCAAAACCTGATCTCTGAAAGCATTTAGAGATATTGGTTTTGAAAATATTTACGTGCACACTTATGAGTGCATATGAGGTATGTGTGTTTATGTGAGCATATGTAAGTGTGTGTGTGGATGCACCTGTATATTAAGCTAATTGGCTTTTGTAAAATTTTCTCCGACATTAAGGACCATGTCCATGCTTATTTGCACAACTGAAAAGTATGCAAAGTGTTAAGAGATACATCCTGGGAATTATCTAGAGAGATATACAAAGGAACACGTGGTTCGGAAATCAAAAGCAAATTCGAGACATTGACTTAAATTCATTGGCCTTGAACAGGACATATAAATAGCGATGAGAACCAATGGATGATACTGGTAGTGGAATATCAACTAACCCAACGAACAAACTTGGGAGACAACCACCACAGTGATGGAGTGATGAGCTTAGCTGATGTGCAGGAAAAAGATGGATCATGGCCTCACAAGAACATGAGGGATTAATTTATTGTGGCTATTAATTATGACGATGTATAGCCATGCGTGCTCATTAATGTATGCACACATATACATGCCCACTTGTCTGTATTTGAAGGCGATCACAGCAGACGCGACCAGCAGCACCACAGCTATGCCCGAGGCGATCGACAACTCCAGCACTGAGCGCATTCCTGCCGCAGCTGGTGCCACAACTCCCTGAAATCTGCCCACTGATCCAGAGGGGTCCAGAGAAGGGCACCGACAGGGTAATCCATGCATAGAGGGTGGGGCACAGGGAGGGTTCAATAAGGATGGGACTAGAGAACCATAGATAAGGGAGACTCTAAGGGAACACAGGGGTCCAGACAGTGGTGGTAACGGAGAATATAGAGGACAAGGGGATGGAGTCCATATGGTAAGAGTGTATGGGTTCAGTTGAAACAGGAGGACAAGGGGGATTACCACAAAGTGATACTCATTTCAACAACCACAACCGGGATTAGAACTCGTAACCTCATTGTGAGTCACTCCTACTCAGAATTAGATTTTGCTTAACCAAGTGTGAACTCAACAGCCCACCACAGTCTCATTTGCAAGAGTCACCAAAATGACAATAAGCAAAATAAAACAACTCACACCACTGAGGCACTGTGGTGAATGAAGTAGTGCCATTGGCTTGTAGAGGGGTCATCTGAACCAATTATATAAATCTAATTTTGTATGGCCGATGTTGATGTAAAGCAACAACTAGAATTTTACATTCAGATGGTTGAGCCAGATAATTGCATCAGCGGAGTGCATCGCTATAATGATGCCTCCTTAACATTTGTGAGTCAGGCATCGAGTTGTTAAATGTTCCATGGTCTGTTCTGGGTGACTAGAGTTTTTACTTTTCCATTTGTGCAATTCATATTCGCAGAACTTGACGCACGCCTCACGATCTGAAACTGTATTGTTTAGCGCCTATAATCATCACCAGTGTCACGACTCCGTACCATGCAGAGCCACGGATAACGACGCGTTGGCCTCGCCCAGTTGGTTGTGCGCGTGGCACATGAGTGTAAGGTTGCCCGAAAAAGAAGGTAGAGTCACTTGAGAACGAGCCACGGTGAGGCCTGCACGCTCGTGGCTCACATCTGCTTCCAGTGGAGAGGGACCGGTTCTGCCTGAACACCTGCACACCACGTGTACATTCATGCACACACACACACACACTGAATAAACAACTCAACTTCCCCCCCTCCGTTTCACACGAAAACCATAATACACATAGGACAATTTTAGGGCAATCATCATAGATCACTGGTGGCCAACTGGTGTATCCCGAGCTGCATACGGCTCTATTGAAGGGGCATAACGTAGACCATACTATCACAGTAGCAAAGAATAATGAATGTATCCCGTGTTGTACCGAAAATACTTGGCTCTTTGCAGAACTCATAGGTACTTTTTGGCTCCTGGTCTGTTACAGGTTGGCGACCCCTATCATAATTGATCCAGGAGATGTTGTGGAGGTGATGATGACATTGTTATTAATCATGGTGTTGTTTATGGACCCACCCATTATTATGCAGGCCCTCACAGATGATCCAGGAGATGTTGGGGAGAGGATGTCCCCATGCCGTACACTCGGCAGTGTTCTCCCCGACCACCTTGAGACTCACATCACGAGGACGCTCTGTCACAAACACCGAAAAACACTCTCCTTTAGTGAAATAGACCACCATATCCAGGTGCCTTTTTCCTGGTGCTTATATGGCACACATCATACAGAGTACTCATTTTAGGCTGAGCTGACCTAACGGATGCCCAGACAAGGTTCAAATACCGGTTTCTACCGGCTTTGTGTATCAGGGCGAGGACGTGAACTTGGTTCTCTGGGACCGTGAGGCAGTATACATACCACTGCACTGCTGTTCACTGCTTTTAAAAGGCATGACAGAAACACAACGTAAACAGCCACATAAACAGCAACATTGCTGCCTTGAGAAATTGGATCAGAGCACTCAGCCCGCATCAAATGCATTTATAAGTTAAATATTATTTCCTATTACTATGAGATGAATTTTCCATCCACAACTCATGCCGAACAATGCATTATTCTGTACAGTATTTAGAGAATGGCACACAAAAACAGATATCCCACAACTATTTTCAAGATCTCTGCATACACTGCGGGGGTTGTTTTTCCATACTCTGCTATACAGACACATTCATCGCAGTTAACCACATTTATTTTATTCCCACAACTTTGGCCAAAGTGAAAAACTAAATATGATGGTGTTGTTTCAGTGTCAAGGACAACGCATACATTATCAAACCATGTTGGCATGTTTTACCACGAGCATGTGTGGTTAATGCAGACTTGCCTTGTGATGGGTGTCTATTTGGTGTTTGAGCATCTTAACACCTGTATTCCAGCTGGAAAAGGCAAAGCCGAATATTTTTTTCTTTTTTCTCTTCATCATAGGGTTTTTGGTTAACTCTTTGGTGACCAGGGTTGGAACAACAACTAATTACACTTGAGAACCTGGCTTAATCACAGGCAGCTGAAACCCAAACTTAAACCCAGCATCTCAGCGGTGACGGCTGTGTTTTGATCCCTAAAGTTATCTCTGAGTGTCTCACTCAGATGGGCGATAATTAGATAATGTATCTGAATGCAACTACATTTCAAGATGTTGGACAAATAGGATGGCATGCACATTGAGGAGGCTTCGGTGTAGGAATTTTTCAAAGAATATTTTCAGATTACTCAACTGGAATCGACATAACAATCATTGCCCCCCCTACTGGGAAAAAATTGTCAGGATCTTCCTGAAAATTTGTCATGATATTCGGTTGACTTTTCTGGGTAAACCAGTGTAAATAAAACATGAAATGCAGACACTTAACAGAAGAGATAAAGTCAAGCATGGGCATTAAACCTGGACTTGCTGACATTGATGGTGATGGTGGTGCTAGTGATGATGTTGCACGGTACAGTATATGTCAATGATGATGCTGATGATGTGACAACTGTGGTAATTGAAATTAGGTTGTTTTTTTTTCTGATGGTGTTGGTATGAGATTAAAATTATTATGAAAATGATAGTTACGATGACCATGATCGTGGTGATGATGAAAGCATAGAGAATAGTGTAGGTAGTCACGATGAGGTCTGTTCTCATGACGATATTGGTGTTGATGTTCATGGTGGTGGTAATGGCCACTGGTATTACCGGTGACAAATATTGGGAAGGAGATGTTGGCGTGCTCGTAGCGGTGACTGGCATAGAACGAGTAGATTCCAGACTGGGGCCCTCTGACGTCCCGCACCAGCAGGGACACCAAGCGCCTGTGTGTAATCATAAGAATCATCATAAACATCAGCACCTGTCATCGACACTACCATAATCATCATCTCGATTTAAAGCTTTCGTGACTGCAGGGATTCATCTTCTGAGTTTTTTCGGTAAAGTCACGTAGAATGGAGATAAAATAATAAAAATAATAACAGAATACAATTCTCACGACGTTTCGGCCACAACACAAGTAGCCTTCCTCAGGTGAAGAAACAGGACTGTCTTGGCCGAAACGTCGTGAGAATTTTATTGTTATTATTTTTATTATATTATCTCCATTCTACGTGACTTTACCGAAAGAACCCAGAAGATCATCATCATCGCTAACATCAGTGCTCTAATCATGTGAATGTTTTCTCCATTCAAATTTATGTCTTTATTTTTCCAATACAATTTTAGGAAAATATATTATCTGACTCCCCATGTAATCTGTATTTTGATACATCCTTCATGCAATATTAGTACAGTTGTTCAATTATTCTAAATTGTTTGGAAACACAGTTGTAAAGGGAATAGCTCCTGAACTAAATAGCAAAACTATGGACCTGGGTTAAATTAGCAGACATTTAATAAATGTTTAAACATTAATAAAAGATCACAATAATTAAACCATGCATCAATTATTATTCTATTCAACAAGAGTGATACACCTGACTAGAACTGCAGGCCTATTAGGCTCTTATTGCACATGTACACATTGTTCACGAAGATCATTGGCAGATAATAATAAAAATGTAGTTGAAAGTCCACTCCTTTGGCAAGCGAGGTTTAGAAAATGTTTCTCTCCTATCAACTGTATATTATTAATCAGATTCTGGAAATTACCCAAGATTTTCAAATAACATTGTGCCAAGCCTTCATAGACTGTGAAAAAGTATTGGACGAAAGCAAATAGATCGAAATCCAGATTCGGATTCGCTCCTGTCCTAATCACTACCATAAACCGTAATTACACTGCCATTAAAATCACATTACCATATTCACCGGGACCAGCCTTAATATCACCATCACAACCCAAACCATTACCATTATTACGATAAACATTGCTTTCACAATCATTACCATGATCACAATCACCACCATCAACAAAAACACCCGCCATTCGCCACTAAGTGGCGGTGACATCACCAGGGCGCCTATGCCAGACCAGGTGCACTCAGGCCACGTGAAGTGTAGAAGGCTCGTTGACAGGAGGTCACGGGATAGACCCAGGTGCCATGGGTTGACTGACTGAGATGACTGGCAGATGCACCACCTGTGCCCCCTACTGTGCCAACTTGCTGCATTTTATCCACCTGGCGTTCTTCTAATTTTGAGCATCGCTCCTTTGCCCTTCGTTGTTGTTGGAGGGCGACTGCCTCAAACTGACCAGTAGCATCCTTCACGAGCCTCCTCCATAGAGACCGATATTGATACCGTTAGTAACAGTCTTCAGCAAGTCCACTCAGCTCCACATCCTTCTATACCGCATTAGTCCATCTTTTCTCCACCTTGTGTCGTACCTGTTTAGCCCCCTCTATCGCCAAACAGAAGCTGCTTGGGCATGTGGTGGCTGAACATGCGGTCTATATAACCCAGCCAATGCAGCCTTGCCTGTCGAAGCAGTTCACTGATGGGAATGTGTACAGATACTCTTTGGTTCTATTCGGTAAAGTCACGTAGGTAAAAAATAAAACAACAAAAATCACGACGTTTCGGCCACAACACAAGCGGCCTTCATCAGGTGAAGGGAACAGGCTGTCTCGAGGACAGCGCTGGAGTGAAACACAGCCACGCTCAGACCGCGACCTTTAAGCTGTGTGCGAGGAAACAAGGTGCCTTGACAAGGGAAATCGCATAAAAAATAGCATTTGATTGGCCGACTTAGCATGATGAACGGTGTAGAGGTGGTGTACATGCGGGTGAACATGCGAGTTGGCGCGGGGGGGAGGGGGAGTTTACCTATTGATGGTGTGAAAAGGGAATTTTTAAGAGCTGCGAAAGTTTGGGGTACCACTACTTGAAAAATATACTGTACCATTGAAAATTAGTTTAATGTTTGGTTCGATTTAGAACATCTTTCCAATGGTTGCTTAATTTGAAACCATCTTCTCGATTGAAATTGTCTGTGTTTGTAGATCTGAATTGCCTCGTGAACAAATCTCTGATAAAAACCCGTGGGTTCGCAAAGAACCTTGGTATCGGAGAAAATTATATCGTGATCACCCACAGCGTTGTAACAGTGATCAGCTACGGCAGAAGAATTCGTTCTGCCGTGTTTCAAATCTGATTTGTGCTCGCGAATTCGGTCAGAGACATGTCGCTTTGTCTCCCCGATATAGCAATCACCGCAGGTACAATTCAATTTGTAAACTCCGGGGTACTGTAAGTCAGGAATGACATCCTGCACGGATGGGATCAGATCAGGAATTTTGTGTACTGTATTGAACCGGACCTGGATCTTGTGTTTGTTTACCACCACCCAGGCCAAAAGAATTCTCTCATCAAAACTTTATACCATAGGGCTCATTGCATTTCGGACGAACACCACCTGACCAGTGAATTAAAACATGTACACCTGGCCCTCAAAAGGAATGGATACTCTGACCGTACCATCCGCCAAGCTGTTTCTCCCTCCATACAGAAACAACCACTTGATACTCCGGTCAAAACCATCACACTACCATATATAGCAGGCGTTACTAAAAAGATTTCCAAAATTCTAAACAAACACAAGATCCAGATCCGGTTCAATACAGTACACAAAATTCGTGATCTGATCCCATCCGTGAAGGATGTCATTCCTGACTTACAGTACCCCGGAGTTTACAAATTGAGTTGTACCTGCGGTGATTTCTATATCGGGGAGACAAAGCGACATGTCTCTGACCGAATTCGCGAGCACAAATCAGATTTGAAACATGGCAGAACGAATTCTTCTTCCGTAGATGATCACTGTTACAATGCTGTGGGTGATCACGATATAATTTTCTCCGATACCAAGGTTCTTTGCAAACCCACGGGTTTTTATCAGAGATTTGTTCACGAGGCAATTCAGATCTACAAACACAGACACAATTTCAACCGAGAAGATGGTTTCAAATTAAGCAACCATTGGAAAGATGGTACCCCAAACTTTCGCAGCTCTTAAAAATTCCCTTTTCACACCATCAATAGGTAAATTCCCCCTCCCCCCCGCGCCAACCGGCATGTTCACCCGCATGTACACCAACTCTACATCGTTCATCATGCTAAGTCGGCCAATCAAATGCTAATTTTTATGCTAATTCCTTTGTCAAGGCACCTTGTTTCCTCGCACACAGCTTAAAGGTCGCGGTCTGAGCGTGGCTGTGTTTCACTCCAGCGCTGTCCTCGAGACAGCCTGGTCCCTTCACCTGATGAAGGTCGCTTGTGTTGTGGCCGAAACGTCGTGATTTTTGTTGTTTTATTTTTTACCTACGTGACTTTACCGAATAGAACCAAAGAGTATGGATCCTTGCAGTCACGAAAGCTTTAAATATAGAAATGTGTACAGATCTTTCAAGGATTTGTAAGCTCCTCACACAATCCAGCCTGGTTAGAAACATTCAGGCCGGCCTGAATGTTTCTAACCAGTGCAGATGTTCCATTAGAGGGGTCCACGTTTCACAAGCATAAAGAAGGGAGGGAGGGCATGACCGTGGCCGAGAAGGCCCGAAGCTTCATGTGGAGCGACAGACCAGGTAGCTTCGACACAGCAAAACGCAGCCGATGAAAAGATAATACTGCTTGAGTGAGACCTTTGCTATGAAACCGGAACACACTGCCCAGGTATGGAAAACTCTCCACTCTCTCCACAACTGCTCAATTACCAATGGGGAGTTTAGGGGGTGGAATGTTTTATGGTGCAAAATACCCAGGAAAATGCTTAGTTATGGCTGAAGGTAAGGCTGCACCTCTTAGTGGCACTCTCCAGGTTCAGCAGCAGTGCCCCCAACTCCTGCTCCGAGTGAGCAGCAATCACCAGATCAGCCTCCCATTGTATCTGTACCAGATGGAAATTCCTCCAGTACAGCCGTGGAAAGCTTCTCGAACTATATGGTTAAAGATGATGTTAAATAATGTGGGAGCCAGAGGAGATCCCTGTTGCACCCTAAGGTGAATAGGGAGCAGCTCTGACTCCTGGCCATCTAGCTTTACCTGGACCTGTCCGCCATCATGAATGCCCTTAATGATTATGAGCAGAGAGTCAGGAACTCCAAAAACATGAAGAACAGCCCAAAGCCCTGGCCTGTTGCTGGTATCATAGGTCTTGACCAGGTCAACAAAGCAGAGATGTAGGTCTTGTTGGAATGTCCTATACCTCTGCTATAGCAGACGGACAAATAATATTGCATCCGTGCATGATTACCCTGAACTGAAACCACATTGGGGCTCCGCAAGCCTCTCCTCAGCGTGCCAGGCAAAGCGATGTTGAATAATCCTTGCCAGGACCTTCCCAGCACACTGAGGAGAGAGATGCCCCTATGGTTGTTACAATCTGCGTGGTCCCCCTTAAAGAGGGGGACCACGAGGGTATCCTTCCAATCCTGAGAAACCTGTCCTGTGGTCTAGACAGTTGTGATGATGTAATGTAGGGCAGTTTACACATAGACGCCACTCTCCCTCAGCATTTTTCTTGGGAGACCATTTCTGCCTGGGCCTTTTCCTGGTCTCAGACTCCAGATTGCCCCTCGTACTTCCTCCACAGATGGCACCTTAGCCAACTACTAATAAGGGTGGCTACTTATGCCAATATTTGAGGCACCGCAGCCCCAGTAGGCTCGCCCCCACCTTGCTCCATGATGTCTGGGCTGAGGGAATTCTCCTCCTCCAAGACCTCATAAAATGTTCTGCAAACCTACAGACCAGTTCCTGGGGACTGGAGATCGGATCACCGTTCTTTCCCTTAAGGATAGTGATAGGTGAGGTACTGAAAGTTACTTTTTGGGGGATTGCGGGCTACTGAGGCAGATTCCATCTCCTCAGAAACCCACGCCCACCACTTAACCTTGCAGCGCGGTCCAAACCTCTGAGCAAAGGCTGTGGTAAGCCTCATTCTTCGATGTTGGACGTTGTAGACAACTGGAGTGGGCCTGTCGTGTTCTTTCAACCTGCCGAAACACCTCCTCCTTCAGCCAGGGGCTCTGGTGAGATCTGGAATGCATACCCAATGCAGCCATTGCAGCTGCACGAGCAACAATGACGAACCTCTCCCATTTCCCTTCAGCATCAGGAGCAGGGGGTTACGATGCCAACCTCAAATGCAAACTATGCTTAAATTCCTGCTTGCAACTATCCTCAGCTAGCTGAGACCGGGCTATTTTGGGTTTGAATGGGGTCCTCGATGGACACCCACCACCGGAATGGAAGAATGGCAGGTGCATCTTACAGATGACAAGCTGATGGTCAGTGGGTAGACCAGCTCCACGGTAGGTCCTGGTATCAAGGACATGGGCCCACATCTGCTGGTCTGTCACTATGTAGTCCAGCAAATGTTCTTGCTTAGACCCGTCATGCATCCATGGTGTATGGATGCCCCAATACCAGAACAGCATGTTGGTAATTACAAGACCATGCGCTGCATAGAAGTCTAGCAGACTCCTATGGTTATTATTCAGCTAATGCGGCTCATACCTTTCAATCACTCTGACTGCATCATGATCCAATCGGGTATTCACCCAAAACGATGACTCGATCCCGAGGGGCCACTTTAGTTAGCAACTGGGACAGGACGTTATAGAAGGCAACTGACTCATTGGCCTTGTCTGCATCCCTCCACTGATGTTCATCTTAAGTGAGGGCGTAAGCAACCACCATTCCATGCCTTTTGTTGATGGGGAGGTGAGCGCACAGCAACATGGGACTTACAACTTCCCATACCTCATCACCACGCTCCTACATTCTTGTGTTCAAAAGAAGTGCAACTTCATATTGTTTGGCAGTTTCCTGTCCAGAATGGAAAACTGTCCACTCCTCATGATGTCTGGAGCCAGAACAGGTCGATCGAACCTCCTGTATTATACAGAAATCCAGGCGGTACCAATCCATCTCCCAACAGAGGAGTGGCAGCCTTTATTCCGCAATGAGAATCCGAACATTCCACGTGGCTAATCGCAGTAGTCTCCTGTTCCTGGAGGAACCCCGAGAGCGGGGTTCAGTCTGGCTCTGCCCAGTCACCAACATTATCACCATTTCCACAACCATCATTATCACCATCATCACCAGTGCCATAATCATCACTGCCACCATCATTGACATCGCCAACATGTTGATGAAGGTTAATGCAAAGGTTGTAGCGCTGATGCAGACGATTCTAATGCAAGTCACATGGGAGCGACGCAGAGAGGTGTGATAGTGGTGGTTAGGTTACCCGTCCCCGCAATCCTCGCTCAGTGTCCGGTTCATGTGGCTCCAAGCACAGGCCGTGGGAGCTGGGTACGCGTCCATCTGCACCGTCAGGGAGACGTCCTCTCCAGGCGCCAGCTCCGTCTTGTGGTCTTCGCCCAATTGCGACAGCCTCAGAAAGCCCTTCTCTGATAACGCCACCAGAGGCCACAGCAGCATCCCGCTCACTTGTGCACAAAGTGCAAGTTTTTAATAAATTTCAAGTGTTAAGTTTAGTTTGTTAAACCAGGTGAGAACTCAAGAGACAAGGATTGGTTCATCTTCTTTGGTTCTTTCGGTAAAGTCACGTAGAATGAGAATAAAATAATACATTGATAAAATAAAATAACACAATAATATTCTCACGACGTTTCGGCCACAACACAAGCGGCCTTCATCAGGTGAAGGGACGAGACTGTCTGGTAGGGCAGCGCTGGAGTGAAAAAGCCACGTTCAGATCACGACCTTTAAGCCTCAACTTTAGCATCTGAACGTGGCTTTTTCACTCCAGCGCTGTCCTACCAGACAGTCTCGTCCCTTCACCTGATGAAGGCCGCTTGTGTTGTGGCCGAAACGTCGTGAGAATATTATTGTGTTATTTTATTTTATCAATTTATTATTTTATTCTCATTCTACGTGACTTTACCGAAAGAACCAAAGAAGAGTAATCATTGCAGTCACGAAAGCTTTAAATCGAAAAAAAAGGATTGGTTCATTTGTGACAGTAACCTGGGTCACCAAAATTGTAATTTATTAACTAATAATAAAATTGGCCGGGCAGGGGCTTTGGTTTGAATTGTTACACTTATAATATGACTGACAGTAACACATTAATGTGGTATTTAGTAACCAAAAAAATGTGCGTTGATTACAATGTAAAATAAGTGTTTTGACCGGCAATGTGGTGGTTGAACACAGTACAGATGAGACATGAGTGTCAGTGTGGTGACGGAGCGAGGCTATAACGACCCTCCTCGACACAATTAGCTCCAAGCGACCCGCTCTTAAGTCAAACGGGTCGTAAGAACAATTGATCGTATTTAAATGCCCATACGGTCAGTGTTATTAAATGTGTTACGGTTCAACAAAAAAGGGAAGCATTTTAAAACTAATAAATAAGAAGAAACATTGTAGATTTGCATGTAACACTTAAAATTACTTATAGTATATAAAATATATGAAGACAGACACACACGGGGCACACACTGACGACAAATATCCCCCGTGTAGCCTGAACAGGCTGTAGGGGCAAGTGCTGTTAGCGAGCACCTATGAAGGCCGGCACGGCACACGAGGGGGTGGGTGGGCAGCACCACACTCGGCCCCCTTTGTCTCCCCATTGGAGAAATTGACGCACCACACCAGGTACCCATTTGAGGCTCAGTCGACCTACGGTAATTCCTAGGTCCAGTGCAGATAATCGTTACTGGGTGTTGGCCGTCAGCGGGAATCGAACTTGGGTCACCAGGTTCGTATCGCAGCACGCTAACCGCTTCACCACCGCTCCCCACACACACAAACACTCACTCCCAGCGCCAGGCTGACTCATCACAACCTCGCAGAGGATCGCTCTGCAGGTGCGAGTTCGTGTTTTATGTCAATCTCTTAAATATATATTTATTTCATGGAAGCTGGTTTGTATGCCAGGGCGATCGTAAGTCGAGGACTGTCTGGATACGTAATTTAAATCCTGCAGGGGGCGTGAGTTAACCACGCCAATGCTGCAAATGCAAAGGGGGAAATTTGGTGAAAGGTGAGGGTCAGGCACGTGAGCGGGAGAAGAGACATTAAAGAGGGTGATGCGCGTGAGAGGGAGAGACGAGAAACAACCACCATGCTGGAGCAGAACCGCATGGTGGCCGCTCTGAAAACGAGGCCTCCACCAATGGCTGCAACCACTCACCAGCTGAGACGTTAAACCGAGCAAACACAGGAAATTCTACTACAGTTGCTGAAGGACTGGACTCACATTCAAGGAGTCAGTCACTCCAAGAAGAAGGAATTGCTGGCGAGGCCAAGTCTAGCCACCCCACCGCAAGTGCGTGGGCTAAGTCAGCGACTATGTGGCCAAACAGCATTTGCATTGACCGCGAATTCACTCCCGGGATCAGCATGGACTGAGTACGGGCCAAGACAACGGATCGGGAGCGAGGCCGAACGAGGGGGACCTCTGTGTCCTCTGAGTCCTCCTCGGGTACCATCTCGAAGACAACGAGGGACCTCATGAAACCAATACCTGCGACACTGATCCTGCAGCATACTACGTCATTAGATCATTAAGACGGGACAATAAAGGACAAGTCTGTTTAACACGTCGGCTTTCGAGACCCATATCCATAATAGAAAGTTTTTTTTCGGTTATATCTCGTAAATATAAATGTGTCGTTAAACCCGCCACCACCAGACACAGCCAGTTAGTAATGTTTGTCACGTAATACAAAACATACCAATTCGTTACTATTTCAGCACACCGGTGTGTTGGAGAGTAAACCCACAACATTAACAATTAGAACAATTACAGCCAGCCTCATCAGGCGACAGCCAGAGTTGTGGAGAAATTCTCCTGATTCGGTCTTAAATCGAGGGTGTCGTCACTTGTAAGCCAATCAGGTGCGAAGACCGGGGGGGGGGAGTTAATGCATTCATATAATCTACAATGGATCTCTTATTGCTTGGGTTACTAACAGTTACGCAACATGCGGAATATATGTACATAACGGATGCACATTATGCATGCACATTATGTACATTATAATACGCTTCAATAAGCGTATTATGATAATTGCTTAGAAGCGTATTATCAAAGAATACCCTGTTTAACTGCATGCCTATACATACGTCGATGGCGATTAACTGAGCAGCCAATAACGGGTAGTGCGATTTTTCTCACCCAAAAACGGCAGAACATACATACATAATGTAAAGGCATAATGCGCATACGTGATATACATACATTATGTATGTTGATACATTAACCCCCCCCCACCCCACTGGTTTCCGTGGTAGCGATAGAACAATTCTGATGGGGCGTTTGACTATTAGTGAGTTTATGAATGGAAGGAATCAGTGGGTGCTGGATCATCAATTGGATACCACGACTCTGGATGCACATAGGAACCTGCTTCAATCTTTCATTGTTGCCCCAATTAGAAAAACTGTGGTGCTGAGCTCAGTGCTCAGATGTGACCATCACAAGCTCGTCGAGCAACCGTTCCCTTGGGAGGTGCATTTGGTGCATTGGCCATGACTGGCACTGGGCATTACCCAGGACTGTGAGTGTTGCTCCAGACTGGGCCTTGCCCAAGTGGCTTGATGCGATGCAGGTGAAGTTGCCAGCCTGTCTCAGCTCAGTCTGTGCAGCCGAGACACGCAATGTCTTGATGGCGCCCGTTTTATCGACATCAGAAGAATTGGTGTGGACAAAGAGCTGCACACACACACACACAAAACACATATTTTCTCAAATTACAATTGTGTTTTTGGTGTAATGTCATGAAATGTATTCATTCAGAACTCTTGCAAAGCAGTGCATCAAAATATGTCTTTTAGAATGGCCTGCGGAAGCAGATATTGCAGAAATACTACCGAAATGCCTTCCAATAAAAATGTTTTATTTATATACACTTATTTATTTATATACACTTATTTATTTATTTACACTTCCCACATGAGGGAACACTTCCCACATGCCCTGCTATGGAAACAGTCAAACCAATATTCTTTTAATTATCCGGACTGAAATTTAGTAATATTAAGTCACAGACAATTTTGCTTTGTCTATTTGTGCAGATATTATTGGGCAAGCTAAAACGGCAAACCCAGATTCATACCCAGTTAGCATTGACGACTCATTGAACTTACCCCTGAGCCACAAAGCCACCTCCTCAAACTTTTTTAAATGTATTGCAATTTATTATTACAACATGCATTAGGTAGGTATAATTTAGTTTAATTGTATATCGTGATAAACTTGTATAATGTACATAGATTAATTAAAAATACCATTAGGGTTGGGCTTTTTCTGTCACTTCCAGCAAAGTACATTTATAAACGCACAACTCTTATAATCTAGGTTATCACGAGTGCGCAAAGGATGGTTGAACGTTTCAGCTTAAAGAAGCCTTGATGGTTTAATCTTATGGAATCTATTAATAAATTAAATCATGTATTGAATTTTGCGTATATCAAACAATTATCTACATACAAATGATACTTGTAGGCGATTGTAACGAGCAATACAGAATAAGAGCAATAATATATACAAGAGAGTACAAACGAGATAAAATCAAGTGCAGAACAGAATCGTCATGACCGAATCCGTCAAATCAAAAGTGCATGTATCTCTGGGACCCTTTTGCCAGTATCAAAATAATTAATTATAAAAAAGGCTTTACCCTTTCTGGCATAAATACAGGAGGTATTTAGATGTTCAAACACTAAATAGACGTCTATTACAAGACTTCAAGTCTGCATTAACCACACATACTTGCGGCAAAAAATGCCAACGAATATACTTTAATATTAAATGCATTGTCCTTGAAACTGATTGGCCTACAACAGAGACAGCCTCTTTTATGGTCTTGTATCACCAGTGCTAGACCAAAGGCCGTCAAAAGGCGAACAGTACAAGGACCATCCAAACACCAAAGCATGAATAACTGGGGTTAAGCAGTATTTAACTTAATAATAATAGGGGTTTTCCCCTTTTTTCTAGCAACAAAACTGAAACCTTTTTACAAGGATTCATGTCTGCATTAACCACAATACCTGCAGTCAAAAGGCAAACAAAAAACATACTATGATTATATATGCATTGTCCTTGAAACTGATTGCTCCATACCAAGGGACGGCAAAGGAGGTCTAATGATAGAGATTTCTTTTAAAGAAAGCCGTCCCTTGGTGTGGACCAATCAGTTTCTAGGACAATGCATAAATTATCATAGTATGTTTTTTTTTCGATTTAAAGCTTTCGTGACTGCAAGGATTCATCTTCTTTGGTTCTTTCGGTAAAGTCACGTAGAATGAGAATAAAATAATAAATTGATAAAATAAAATAACAATAATATTATGTTTTTTTTGTTTGCATTTTGACTGCAGGTATTGTGGTTAATGCAGACATGAATCCTTGTAAAAAGGTTTCAGTTTTGTTGCCAGAAAAAAGGGGAAAAACCCCTATTGTTACATTTTGGTACTGGCAAAGGAGGTCTAATGATACAGTAATTAATTATTACATATCTACTTAATGTATATCACATGATTGATGCCCGGTAAACAACTCTCAAAGGAGCTTAAAGTACTACTATGTAGTCATCGTAGTGTTGAAAGGGCTCTCTTATTGAAGTATTCATAATAACGCCCTTAATTTTCTTTCATGGGGAAATCCTACATGATTGGGATGTTTGGCTGATTCCATTAATGAGTGTTTGGCTTGTGGAAGGAAACCAGAATACTTGGATAAAATGTACGTAGCACTCAAAACTTCACACCAATAGATTCAATAATCTATCACTGTACTGTCATATACTGGCAGCCCAAGCCTTGCTATTCCAAGGCAGTCTCCCATGCAAATATTAAACCAGGTTAAACCCTGCTGACTTTGTATGTATGTTGAACTTCTTTCGCACCATATGTTGCCAGCCGTGCTAATCGGAGTGCATTCTGGTTGATTTGGTCACACGCAACATTCGGTCCTATGTAATTCTTCTGGCCAACCACTTGAGGCCATTCTCTGACACGACGACGTGAAATGTTGCCACTTGTAGTTTCATCTCTTTTCCTTGGGCTATAATACTGATATTATTGTGGGACTCGTATCTTTGGCTATTTAAAAAATCCCAAATAAAAGTGGCTGGGTAGTTCAGGGTCACAGCAATGAATCACTGAGAGCCTGTGTTTGAATTCAGGTTTTCAGCCGTCTGTGATTAAAGTAGCTTCCTAAGCATAGTGACAGAGCTTCCTAATTATGACATGTAGTCCGCAGAACAAATGTTAAATATTTTGCGAAATTCCAAACTTCACATTTTTTAAACAATATGTATATAAAAAAACTCTTACCGCAGAGTTTGAAATGTTCCATTCGACATTGAATTTCATGTCTACATTGCGGCCGATGCACTCAGCCCAGAAGGGTTCCCCAACCAAGCAGAAAGGAGAGTTGAGTTTCACGAAGACCTTGGGAGCATGGCGAGGCACTGGACATACAACAAATACCACCATCAACATCACCAACCACAGGATCACCAACGAGAATAGGTTTTCCCCTTTTATTTCTGGCAACAAAACAGGTGTTAAGATGAACTTGCGTGACGATGCCCCTGGCAATGCATTGTCATGGGAGCTAGAAGTTAGATTCAAACCCGGCGCCTCTGTACAAAATGACAAGGCCACCCATCATGAGACCTCCTTTGCCAGTATTAAATTATGATATAATAGGGTTTTCCCCTTTCTGGCAATAAAACAGTTGTGTTAAGATGTTAAACACCAAACTGAAACCTTTGCAAGGAATCATGTCTGCATTAACCACATATATTTGTGGTGAAAATGCAAACGAAAAATGCTCTGACAGTATGTGCATTGTCTTTGAAAGCTGTCTCTGGTGGGGACCAATCAGTTTCAAAGCCAATGCATATATTATCAGAGTATGTTTTTTGTTTGCATTCCGACCACAAGTATTGTGGTTAATGCAGACATGATTCCTTGTAAAAAGGTTTCAGTTTGGTGTTTTAACATCTTAACACCTAAATTTTGATTTAAAGCTTTCGTGACTGCAGTAATTCATATTCTTAGTTTTTTCGGTAAAGTCACGTTGAAGAGAAACAACAAAATAACAAAATATATATAAAACAATAAAAAAAATTCTCACGACGTTTCGACCATAACTCAAACGGTCATCATCAGGTGTGTCGGTTTGCATAAATGTATTTTGAAAACGGCATATTTATTTATTTATATATTGAAAATAACATTTGCGTCACGCGCAACGATTGGCAGTTTGCCCAGGACTAGTCCATCTATTTTTTGAAAAGAGGAGGGGGGAGACGAAATTTGTTTTTATGTATGCTGTCTGAAAGCCACTGTAAGCGTGAACAATCAATCAAGAACTTTCAGACAGCATACATAAAAACAAATTTCGTCTCCCCCCTCCTCTTTTCAAAAAATAGATGGACTAGTCCTGGGCAAACTGCCAATCGTTGCGCGTGACGCAAACGTTATTTTTAATATATATAAATAAATAAAGATGCCGTTTTCAAAATACATTTATGCAAACCGACACACCTGATGATGACCGTTTGAGTTATGGTCGAAACGTCGTGAGAATTTTTTATTGTTTTATATATATTGTTATTTTGTTGTTTCTCTTCAACGTGACTTTACCGAAAAAACTAAGAATATCTTAACACCTGTTTTGTTGCCAGATAAAAGGGGAAAACCTTTTCTCATATTTTGGTACTGGCAAAGGAGGTCCCATGAAGGATCAACTTAAACTTCGGTGTAATCTGTAGTCGTTACCCAGCTTAGACTCTTTGTTGATTACAAATATTACAGTTTTGGCAACATTAATATAGAGTAAGTTAAAACCAATCCAAGATGAGACCGTGTCAAGTTAAGGTGGGAGAGTAGACAGTGAAGTTGTGTTCATGGAGGCAATGGTGATATAGGTGTTGGCTTTGAAGTGATGGTTGACATTTAAACTGGAGATGCTATTACCTAGAAAGAGGAGCTATAAGTCGGGAGGCTGATGATGGACACCATAGAGGAGAGGAGAAGATAGTCTTTGTATGGAAATTGTAGAAGGGGAATTTAGAGGGAACGAGCAGAACCAAGAGAGAAGTGCACCAGCGATGCCTACATAGTTTAGGAGATGCTGAAAGGATGGAGGGGGCTATGAAATCAGACAAAGGGGAGTATCATGGATTAAACAATATAAGCATGGTGAGGACTTGCTTCTTAATGTTAAAATGTGGGCCCGGGCAAAACATGTCACTAGAAAGGCTGATGGCGTAATGATGGAGTGACAGCCGAGGGAGGAAATGTGCCCGACAGAATATCCCCCGGGGAGAGGGAGAAAATTTATCAGCGCATGTGCAGGTGCCACGTGGATTGTTACTTGCAGGATAATGAAATATAGTTATGGCTTAGTGAGATCTACATTCAGCAGTGGACTGCTCATGGCTGATGATATTATCGTAGTTTTTGCTCAGTTCCCCGATTGGGCCGTTGTGAGGCCCTGAGAGAGATGCTCTCAATGGTCAAACACGAACCCAGCATTTTTGCAGTTCTGGTTCAGAGCTCTAACACTGCCACTGTGATGCCACAAAGGGAGAGAGACACTTCATCTCATTGTTGATCGTATCTCACCTCTGTAGATGTCCAGTCGAATTGGCTTAGAGGTCTTTGTTCTCCCACCAAATTCTGCCTTGCAGACATACCAGCCACTGTCGTTTGGAGTTACATTACGGAGCGTAAAACTATCGCTGTTCGTTGGAATGTAGCTCTGCATACACACACAGAAACAAAAATCCTCTGTGTAGGCTTTGACTTTAACATAGCCATTTCTGTGACCAGTCACAAGCTAATCACGCAGCTATTTCAATGCTAAATTATCCGAACCAAACATGAAACTAATTTTCAATGGTACAGTATATTTTTTCAAGTAGTGGTATCCCAAACTTTCGCAGCAGCTTAAATTCCCTTTTCACACCATCAATATGTAAACTCCCCCTCCCCCCTCTCGCCGGTCTGCACATGTTCACCTCCTCTACACCGTTCATCATGCTAAGTCCGCCAATTAAATGCTAATTTTTATGCTAATTCCTTTGTCAAGGCGCTCTGTTTCTTCTCATACAGCTTAAAGGTCGCGGTCTGAGCTTGGTTGTGTTCGCTCCAGCGCTGTCCTCCAGACAGTCTCGTCCCTTCACCTGATGAAGGCCGCTTGTGTTGTGGCCGAAACGTCGTGAGAATTTAATTGTGTTATTTTATTTTATTAATTTATTATTTTATTCTCATTCTACGTGACTTTACCGAAAGAACCAAAGAAAATGAATCCTTGCAGTCACGAAAGCTTTAAATCGAAATTTAAATCGAAAAATCCTCTATGCAGCGAGTTGCGAACAAGTCTAGTGAATGAAGGGGTGCATGTTCTCGCCAGACCCATGGCTGGCTGCCTGACTGTGTATTCATCCCCAATGCTGATGTCTACACACAGCAGCAACTCATGACTGAGTTAACCTGGGCGACGGGTATAGTTAAGATATAATTGCAACCAGATGTCTAGGTTGTAGTGCAGTTCACAAAATTGTACCACTGCTCCGTATGATGCATGGATTGTCTTGCCTCTCATGATTTTCGTCGACCTCGCAATAATGCAATGTAACATTGTCTATAATCTGTCTCTTCTATTGCTCCATGAGGGGGTTTGGCCGTCGTAAAGCCACCTTACCCACCACTACCATTGCTGAGCACTCTCACCCACATCCACAACCCCCACCATTACACACTCAAGCTGCCTCACTCAAATCAACTTGTCTTTAGCTCAGACCCTGATGCCTGTATATTTGAAGTTTACATGTTCTCCCTGTAGTCGCGTAGATTTTTCTCCAGGTCCTCTGCTTTTTTCCCCTCCAAGTTTAGAAACGTAAGTTTAGAGTATTTGGATGTTATATCTTTCCACATGATAAGCGCATTCCTTGAGCTATCATTTGTGACCAGGTCGCTTCTGACAAAGAGGTGCATAGCTCAGTGGGCCTTACCTGCTAAAATAAAACATCGTTTAATTTCGAGTTGCCATGTCTCGTGGGGGAAAAAAAGCAGCACTGCCTGTAGAAATACACCCAGAACAAGTTCAAGCCCCTGTCTAGAGTAAGGAGTGGGACGTGAAAAGTTAGAGTATGTGGCCTAAATAAGAGGCGGTGGGGCCTAAGGAGGAGGGGTTTGGGCCCAAAGAGGAGTGGTGGGTACTAAAGATGATGCCCAAATAAGTGACCTCCAATTAAAACATAGTCCAAAACTATCGCAAACCCGCAATTCTCAATTCTAAATAGAAGTGCTTCAACCATGAACGTTCCTGTTGAAGTAAGGAAATTGAAGCATAGCATCAAACAAGTACAGCAGGCCACCAACATGTAATGTCGCCAATGCGGCCACAGGCCAACGAGTCCACCACTGGTGAGAATGCCACTGCAGTAAGATAGCACGAATGGGCCAAAGAACACATCCAAGTGGTGAAGGCTCGCTGATAAGTCATGGTACAGACCCAGGAGGTTTGGGTTAACATCGGAAAATGGCCAAAATTGAACTATAATTGTGCCCCCATCACAACCACTTGGTTATTTTAAACCACCTGGCATTGTGCTTTATCTTCTGTCAATCCTTCTGTGAGCAGTGGAAATGTGAAATACTAATAACTATTACAAGTTGTTAAGTCCTACATTTTGTCCGTATAATTTATAAATAGCATCTGGTGCATAAAAAAACCGCATTGAGCGTATTGTCAATCATAAAGATTAATGGCCTTGTATTGTCGATTTCATATCTATTGAGTGTGGTAGTACGTTTATCTTGCAGTGTGTTTGTACTAGACAAAGAGTCGGCAACCAAAATAATAACAAGAGCCATTTTTTTTTCCAATTCGGTAAAAAAACCCAACGCAATATTTCAAGAGCCGCAGTGCATGTGAATAACGTCACAAAACAGCCCTTAACGAGCCGCATCTAGCTCCGGAGCCGTAGGCAGCTGTAACTAGACAGATGTATGTTGATTCATCCTGCATGCTTTGCACTGATTCTGGTGGTGGGAGATACGATATACCCACTGGCTTCATTCATGAGCCTCGACAGACACGCAGGCACGCTTACTGTCTCACCAATTCGTCACGCTTCTCCTCTCTCTCCAATCTCAAACCAGTGTAGCCAGTGGAGCCACTCTCGATGAGACACGGCAATTTGACGTCGGTTCCCTCTGGTTGCAGCAGTCGTATAGAATTCGCAGTGATTCTGCCCTCTGTGGTGCGTTGGGGAAGGATGCACTCGTTAACAACAAGATCAACAACCCGTTTAAGCTAAATATTTTCTGTTGGAATATACATAGCAATTATGTAGCTGCAAACCACACGCAAGAATGCGTACAAAAAGCAATGGCTGTGCCCTTGTGCATCATGCAAAAACGTTCATCGGTTCTTGGAGAACTGCACGGTGGTCCCTTTTTGTCTGATTATAGCAATTATAATTTTAGTCCCTGCGGCAAAAAGATATTCGGAACCTCCTTAAAACGTCATGAAACTCAGTGAAGCTTTCTTGGGCAATAATGAAAACAGAATACAGCGCTAGGCAGTAAAGTACACTGCAAAGCAATGATATAAAGGGTGCTTCAAAAATGTTCATCTCATGTTTACATTCCTAAGCCAATGGTAGGAATTCCCCGTTTCTATGGATTGGTCTATATTTTATTGATACCAAGGACATGATGGGATAATCTTTCACCCATTTACGTAAAGTATATGCAACGGTATCTTGGGTGTTTTTAGTATCAGTTGCTGAGCTCAGGGACCAATACCCAATACATAAAGTAGCCAGCAACAAACAACGAAATCTGAGTTTGAATAGATATGCACGCTACTGTGCATTGCATATACATGTGTATATCTACAAAATCATATATTGTGTAATGCTGTAGTGTCTTCACAATTAAGTTACCTTGACTAAATTCACACATCAGTAAACAACAACAACAACACAAAACAGAGAGCCTTGAGAGGAACTCACCCATAGCAGCCTGTGCCACAGCCTGAACGAGCCAGATCACCAGCACAGGATTCATAATGGCCAAAATGCAGCATTCATCTGGAATTCTTGCTTCACCGGAATGGACCATAAGTTATCTGCTTCCCCCTTTGTCGTCCTAAAAATATCCTGCCTTTCAGCCCCTCCCCGCACATCCCTCTTCCACCCAATCACCCTAACTGCATTTGACCTTCTGTGCCCATTCCCCCTCCCCTCAGTCCCAAATTTCCCTTTTACCTCCCTCAACACAATTATCCCTACCTCCTCTGCCCCCCAAACCCTCCGTCCACCATGACATCTCACCCCTCCACCCGAACCCTCATCTTCCCTCTCAAAAAGAAAATTAATATCAGTCAAGCTAGTAAAACAAGTGAGCCTCTCCGTCAGATGGCGATACTTGGGATCTTCAGCAGGATCATCCCTCACACAGGGTTTCGGTGCTTTGTGAATAGGTAAACGAAGCATGAATTGGTTCGTTGATTGAAATAAATGTTCACCCTCACACAACTGCCGTTGCATCAACCATTAGTGGAGGTGAAATTTCCTGTGAGGTAATGCGAAGAATAGTAGGCCATTGTGTGCCGGTGTCATCATCCAAATTTGCCAAATTCTCAAGAACGACTCGCAATTTAATTAATTAGTAAACACAGACCATTAATCGTACCCCACTACTGCGAACACCTGGCAGGACCCTCCTGAAAAAAGTCTTGAGACTCGGTGAGGTTTTCAAGGGTGAACAAGCGTAATCATAACACACACATCGAAGTGCAAGACAAAGACACATTACGCATGGACGTAATCTACGTACGTAATGTATAAGGAGAGCCTGAAAGAGATGGGATCTGGCAGAATTTCACACGCATATGTTTATCTGGATTTGTCGTCTGTGTCCATGTCCGTGGGTGAGTTTTGGCTACATGAATTACATCCACCAGGTGTGGAATAGACTCTTGATTCCATTGGGATCTCTGTATTTTAAGCATTGTATGTGTATATATATAATGTGATCATTGAATAATTCTCACATCTCCCCTAAGTCGACATAGCCTGGTGTGGTGTGTAAACATCAGAAAATAGGCGTGGTGCTCACCACCTCACACCTAAATTCGCTGTGCAGGACTTAATAGATGCTCGCTAACAGCACTCTCACCCGAAAAGCCCATAAGGCGATGGAGGGGATTTTGTCTGTTTCATTATATACATGCGTCATCATAATTATCAGAAAGAAGCAGCGGCATCATCATTATCACCCTCTTAGTCAACAGCATCATTATCCATCTGGAGTTGACAGAATAATGTGCAGCTCATCGTGTTGTGGGGAGATGTGTCCCTGCCATCGTCATAGGAAGGCATCATTCTTCCATTCAGATCTGTCAGTAGAGATGAGTGTAAGGGGCTAAACGCTTCCTTGGTGGAACAGTCCGTTCTTGAGTACGGTCCCTCCGGAGAAGCTCAAACACAAAGATCCCCCCATTTCGCCTATTACATACAGACTAAAGTTTGATTTAAAGCTTTCGTGACTGCAGTAATTCATATTCTTGTTTCCCTTCAACGTGACTTTACCGAAAGAACTAAGAATACATACAGACTGTTGGGGCAAGTGTTGTGAGTGCCAATGAAAGGCCGGCATGGCGTACGATGGAGTAGGGGACCAACCTCACGCCCAGCTTCTTTCGTCTCCTCAGTGCTGATGTTTACACGCCGCACCAGCCACTCATATAAGGCTGAGTCGACCTAGGCAAGACCCATAACCAGTTCAAGCATTCGCCACTGTTTATGGGCGAGAATTGAACTTGGGTCGCTGGGTTCGGAGCACGGTGTGCTAACCGCAACAAAGACAAAGATCCCCCGTGTAGCCTTAACAGACTGTTGGGGCAAGTGCTCTGAGCGAGCACCTGTGAAGGCCGGCACAGCACACGAGGCGGTGGGTGGCCAGCACCACGCCCGACCGCCTTTGTCTCCCACGTGGCGGAGTGTTTTTATGTTGTGGATGCTGTGGCAAGATCCACCTTGCCCCACCACTAAGTTCTGATTGGCTAGATGAATAAAACTGATCCATAATAGAGGTTTCTTTTAGGTTATATCGCGTAAATATAAAGGTGTCGTTAAACCCACCACCACCCGATATAGTCAATTATTAAGGGTTGTCACGTCAACAAAACATGCCAATTCGTCATTAGTTCAGCACACCGGTGTGTTGTTGAGTAAGGGGCCGTCCATAAATGACGTCACGCACCTAGGGGGGGGGTCAGACATTTGTGACGATGTGTGACGAGGGGGGTTTGAGAAATGTGATGTCACATCAAAATGTGCCACTTTAAATAAATGTAGACAACACGTTCTACTTAATTAAATATACTTTTTAATAAATGTTTTCTCCTACAACATCAGAGTGCAGCGGCACATTAAATACGCACTACAATGACAATAGTTTAAAGCGATTAGAAGCATGTTTTATATTTTGGGGGGGGGGGGGGGGCAGAGCTTTGTGACGTCATATTTGAGGGGGGGGTCTGACTTTTTGTGACGTCATTTATGAACGGCCCCTAAATCCACAACATATACAATTCGAGTACGACATTTCGTCGGTAATTAAAACCAGCCTTATTAGGCGACAGCCAGGGTTGTGGAGAAATCCTCCTGTTTTGGTCTTAAATTTCGGGATAAATGTGATGTTGTCACTTCTGAGCCAAGCAGGTGGGAAGACCAGTGGGGGGTGGGTTAATGTATATTCATATAAATTATAAAGGATCTCTATTATTGGTTGGGTTATTCACAGTTAATCAACATAATGTATGTACATCACGCATGCACATTATGGGTGCACATTATGTATGTACGTTCTGCCATTTTTGTGTGCAAAAATCGCAATACCTGTAATTGGCTGCTCACAGTTAATCACCATCGACGTATGGTGACCTTTATAGGCATGCAGATAAACAGGTTATTCCTTAATAATACGCTACCAAGCAGCACTAAGCCTGTAGCTATCAGAGCGGTTAAAGTTACTTTTATATCTCTCAATTTCAATAGATTCTCTCATTTGTTTTGGCCAGTAGTAAATAGTTTTGCACAAACCTCAACATTATCAAAATCAATTGAGTGCCCTTGTTGGCACGCATGTTTGGGCATATTTAACATGTATTTCTCTGGCTGTCGTTTGACGAGGCTGGTTGTAAAAGTGTGGAGTGGTATTGTGGAAGATTCCTATTTGGGTGCCACTGTGGTAGGCCTGGTATGAAGGAGGTTCGTGGGTTCGATCCTAAATCTGACGCCTGCTGTATATTTGGAGTTTGTGTGTCTCTCTCCTCGTGGTTGCATGGATTTTTCTTCGGCTCCTCAGGATTTTCCATCCACATGTAGAATCAACATGCGTTTAGAATATTTGGCTGATGTAAATTTCCACATGATAAGCCACTTCGTTGAGCTATTCATTATTTGTGGTCAGGTCGCTTCTGAAAAAGAGCTACATAGCTCAGTGGGCCTTACCTGGTAAAATAATAAACATATCGTAATTGCCGGAGAATTGTTATACTGTACTTGAATTGTAAATGTTATGGGTTTATTCTCCAACACACCGGTGTGCTGAACTAGTAACAAATTAGCATGCTATGTTTAATTGACAACCCTTACTAATTGGCTGTGCCAGGTGGTGGCGGGTTTAACGACACATTTATATTTACGCGATCTCACCTACATGTTAAATAGAAATGTACTTGAACCACAGCAATTCCGCCGTTCAATAGAGTGCTCCATGGCAATGAAAATATACAACTTTTCCCGAGCAGGGAATCTCCTGGTAAGTTTGATAGGCCACCACCGAGAAATCCATCAAGTCCGTAAATCCTACTTCTGGTATATTTTTACCTGGAAGGTAAACGGAACGAAATCCATCAACTATTAACCTAAGGTTATACAAGTTCTATTTTTCATAGTTTGTCAATTTTAACGGAAAACTGAACTAAAATAAAAATGTCTCCACCTAGGAGCAATATAAAAGCAGTATATCCGAATCCAAATTAATTTAGCATAAGATCTTCTTGCATGAAACCCCTGCAGCACACACAGCTTGCTTATGAAGTACAGGCACTTTATTGGAGAATGCAGTTTCCAAGAATTGCGTACATTAACTATCCCAACGTCAGGACTATTGATGCCCACCACACCTTATTTCCTTCCACTACATCCCGTAGTTGTAAAGTCGACGCCCAATTTTTAAGATCTGCTTTTACAGTCTTCCACAATCTATATTTAGGTATTCACCTGGTCACCTGCCGTCCTCCATCTTATATACTCGCCTAACCTATCACAACCTTATTTTTCTGGCGACATCTACAACACTTGAAAAAAAATGATCTCATAAACTGCAGAGTTGCTTACCATACCCTTAAAAATCCTTCCATGTGCGCTTTGACATCAAGGTGATGATGTCCATATGGATATGTTCTTCCTGCTAAACGTGTAGGCGTGTAAGAGGTATCGATTCACCAAATAATATCCATCCTGTCAGCTAATGTTACTTTGATCAAATGTGTAAGAATTAACGTTTTATATATATATACGTTGCGAGTAACGAATTTGTGTAACCACTGCAGCCTTTATAAGCTGCTACATTCACAGTGTTAAAAGTGATACATTCTTGAATCGAATAATGACAATTAACCCCGGCTCGTGCCGCATTGTTTTCTTATCCAGTGTGGCCACACGGGCAGTCATATTTAATTTTTGGGGTCATCGATCGACCCAGTGCCATCTTACATGCAACGTGCCAAAAACTCAGCACAGACTCCCAGAGTGGAGAGAGCAGGCAACGTGTGGAAAGATATCAGAAGCACAGTTGAGGTTGGTCGGTTATCCACAATTCACTGACCGGTATTGTAGCAACTACAATCCTGTTAATTAGAGCACCATATTGTCTCGGTTTAGGATTATGAGGGGCCACATGACTCGCATTATCACCTCGTCTTGACGGATGTAGAAGAGGTCCACCTATGGGTACATTGAGAGGCAGGTTTGAAGCACAGCAGGGCCCTACTATCAGAACGGAACAGCATCATCAACATCATCTGGTGCAAACCCCTCGGGGTCGTAGCGATCCCCACGATAGCTCACCGCTATGCTGAATGCAGGCAAAGGTCATTGTGGTGAAGATCATCCTCAATTGTGTGTGTTCCTATCAACCGGATCATACCCCGGAGTCGTCTCCAATCCTTCGGTGGGCCATCGAAAATCATGTGCAGGGCTCTGGTGTGATCAGCTGAGGCGTTTGCCCAGGCAATGTGTCCGCGAAGAACATAAGTCTTCTGGCAATGTCAGACACTGATG